AAGGTTTAATTTAGAACGAAAGTGCATAGTTATTTTTCAATGCGGTCTTCAAGTCAAACAAAGTTAATCAGGCAAATAAAGAATTACGAGGATTATCACAAAAGAGATGTTTATATTGCTAAAATTTGCATGTTCAAAAAGAACTACTTCTTTGAAATACGATGACTTAAGAAATTTGATAATAATGTCTCAATAATAATTACGTTAACGTGACAATGAATATTATGACAATGACTATTAAAATAATTGATGTCGGCGAGAGGAAGTGTCGAATTTCAGGGTTATAGTCAAGATTATCTTAAAATAGATTTTAAATGCTGAAATCTGCATTTGCTGAAATGAACGTTCAAAAAAGCATGTTACCCTTTCGCTCTTTTTCTTCGAAAAACGATTTGATATTTTAAATTTGTTTTCCGTTATAATGGTGCCATCTGTAGGATAATTAAAATATGTTCTTTCGGTGAAGAATAATATCGAATTTCAGGAAAGGAAAATTTTATCAAAAAATAAATTTTATGTGCATATGGTTAAGATTCGCAGAAAAACAATATGCTGTTTTGCCGTTTTTTTCTTCGAAATACGATGTTACTATGGATTCAAGAGCAACATGATACTCCCCAATTCATAAATATAGCTTGCTCTAAACGAACATCATATCTACAAAGTATATTTTACTTCTTTGTTAGTCGTATACAATTTTACATCATGACCAATAGATTGCATTTTAGCATTAATTAAACATATCTATCATAAAGATTAACTTAAAAGAAAAAGAAAACCCAGGAAATGTATTAAATGGACTGTGTAGAATATTAATGTAGTTTATTACTGAGTAGTTTATCTATGCTTGTGATGTGTTTTTGAAGTGAAACAGTTCTTAACGCGATTCTATAATGAATTTCTTGAACCCTTTATCTATTCTAACAATTTTCTGTTTGTTTACCATTCCCTTTATAACTGCAGGGGATACTCACTCCTCCATGGCACCTGAGCCCACCTCTGATGTTTTGGAGGTCCGTGTTTACTCTGCTCCTATATTGTATTGTTTTATGGACTTTGATATTAAATACTGCACGTTATCTCCATATCCTTCACTTTATACAGAGGATTGATTTATTTAAGCTTAATGCCCCTCTAGATAATTTTTAACTCTAATGGAGATGCCACCACTTGCCGATGGAGAGCTGCAAATTTTGTCCTATGCTTCTCACTCAGGGCTATTGAGCAAGGATGGATCTTTAACGTGCCGACACCTACTGCGACACGGGAACTCTGTTTATACAGTCTTATCTGAAGGACCTGTCTCCTCCTCCTACAGTGGGATTCGAACCAGTCGTTACTCTGCGACTCTAGAGCAGATGCTCTAATTATTATGCCACTTGGGCGACCATTCGCTCGGTTTTAAGTTTGCCAAATAAGTGTTGTGCGAAATATGCGAAAATGAAACGATGGCATAAATTTCCCTGTTCGGTAGAATCATCATTATACGTAGGGGACCATATTCGTGGATTTTGTGGGTCACCCTTACCCACGAATTACCATCCCCACTAACGTTTATTTTGTTAACATATTATTGATTCATTGAACCATCATATTTACGAGTGACCCACGAAATAACGTCCCACGAACAGGTAAAATTTTGCTTACCGACGAACATCGACCCTAACGAATTAAAATGATTCCTCAGTATACAGAATCAGGCGGGTGCAAGATAAAATATTTTTTCTACTTTGTACCAACTGGATTCCGTACACCTGAGTTCACCTTTGCAAACAAATTAATCAGCCCGAAAAAAGTACTTTTAATTCCATGGACAGAGTTCAAAGATTTACATTATTAAGTTTTAGCATAAAACGGTGCCTATTAAATAAAGTTGTCATTTTGCAATTCTTAACAAAAATTTAAAGAAATTATAATTCTTTTCAATCACTGAGTTTGCATGTTTTTTAAAATCCACCTATTTTAAACTACATACAATTAGGTATCTTTAACCATTATTATTTTTTAATGTAGGCAGAGCAATGTCATTGTCATCAAACACAACCTCGTATAAGGTCAAATTCTGACTGCAATTATTCAAAATGGTTGTTTTTTTTACCAACTGTATTCTCAAATGTGCATACAGCGGGTGTGATCAGAGGGCAAAAGATGCTCGCTCCTCCATGGCATCCATATCTGATGTGTTATGTTCAAGGGTGTCATATTGTGATTTGACAGTTGTGTCTTGTAACTTGAATACTGTTTATTATTTCCATATTTCATTGATAGAATGTATCATACCCCGCTCTGATTTTTGATTTGTCAGTAATGTCTTTTAACTTGAATATTGTGTGTTATGCCATGTCAATTTATCATTCATAGAAGGTACGCAGCACTGTTAAGGCCTACTATGAGAAATCAACGGAAAATAGACGTGCAAAAAAGAGGGACTTTTTTTAAAACTGAATTTATTTTAATTAAGCTGTTTTATTATCACAGAACTCAAATACTTATGGAAAAAGCATAGTATAAACCACTCCGTACTGTATGAAGTTTGGTCCCAACGATGGACAGTCACGTGATAAATGCAGAGTTCGTGTACTGAATGTAGGTCATGAACAAATTTCAATATAGCAAGGGCATACCCTAGTTGAAATTAAAAATTCAAGCTATTAATTATTTCTGCATACTTTGTAGTTTCTGAAAAGTGCTGCTGCTTTGAATAGAATTCGCGTTTTAATAGTTAAATTTTCAGGTAAATAAGCCAATGTCGAAATATGTTTGACTTTTACCAAATATTTCGTGTACTTATAAAATCACGCCCTTGATTTAAAGAAAGCAGCAGCAGTTTTCAAGTTAAGAAAAATATCCTTTATCTATATTCAAAAAAAATGGTTAAGATCTATTTAGTGTATGCCCTTGCAAAAGTACGATTTTATGAGGCATCTCGTTGTAAGATATACGTAACCTGCATTTAAAAACACGACATAATTAATAAAATACATTCTCTTGATAGTTAATGAATAATCGCACTCAACAAAGAATATACATTGGTATTAATCCATTATTTAAAACCTGTAAATAATATTCCGTTTAATAATAAAACGCATTTTTCATTGTTAAAAAAATCCTCAATCTGCCTCTCACAGCACATGAAATACGTCATTTTTACCAATATGACGTCATGTTTACAAGTTCATCGCGATCAGTGCTTTGTCTATAACCAGCTACATGGGATTTAACTTGTAAGTTTTTTAAATGCATTGATAAGTTTTATTGTTGTTTATTATGCTAATACAGTTAAAAGTTGTAAACTATTTCATTTTTAGGTATAATAAGAAATACATAAAAGTCATAGTTTTGTGTGACGTCACAGTAAACTTTTCCCGTATAAATTAGGCCCCTACCTCTTATTCAAGCCTTAACAATGCTGCGTAGTGTATCTCCCTATGTAATATAATTTGATAGTGTGATAAATGCAAATAATTCATACTGCATGGAGGTAATATACAAATTCAAATTTGGCAAGGACATACCCACATTTATCTGCAGTTTCTTGAAAGAGCTTTCGAATTTAATAGAATAAGAAGAATTAGTTTGAAGGCTGAATAATATGACGTACTCGATTAAATGAGAACAGTAGCAAACTTGAAAAAGGGATAAGTACTGTATCAATATTAAAACATGTTAATACATACATGCATTCTAAAACGGCACAATCCACCTTTATAGATTCATTTTTTAATAATATGATGCCTTTTCTCGTTTAAAAAATATCTGTCTAAAATGCATCTTAGAAAGGCAAGATTATATGAGCATTTACGAAATTCAATTTACAATTGAGGATAATATAATAACATTATCTTTATTTATGTATGCCTAAAAAGTAGAACTGTGTAAGACTTTAAATAGGAGTAGTAAAGAATTAATTCCGCTGACGACAAATGCACCTGCAAATTCTTATTTTCTTTAACAACCATTCGAGCATAGTCTTGATTTGTTCAGATTTGCATACACATGCTTGATAGTTTTCGTCGTTGAGTATATCAACTTATTTTCATATAAATACCAAGATTCCAAGAAACATGCTTTCTCAGAAATTGTGCTCAGTGCAGCATAAAGCTCATATTATATAAAAGCAATTCTGCGAGTTCTATCCGTACTTTCGAACTTACTTAGCTTCACAATGGAAACCTGTCCAACACCCTGTGTGCCACAGTCGCACATTTATGCGGACATAGATTTCAATGTTCGTTCCCTGTTGTTGATTTTGAGTGGTATGTCAACGACTGAAGAAGGCGACATCCTAGAACTAGAAGATATTTATCAGTTGAGAGAAGACCTTGAGGTTCTGATACGGAACGTATCGTATTATCATCCGAGAATACAGGAACTCCATGAGAGGATTTTGTCGTTGAAAACAACGGTTGATCAATTTACAAAACAAGAAATCAGTATAGAAGAAAGGGTCAGATCTCAATATCAGCTGCACTGGGATGAAACGAAAGACAAATTCACGGATGTGTCAAAAGTTTGCAGCAAAGAGCGGGAACGAATCGAAGAACTTGAGAAGAATGAAATCAGGTATGCTTTTAATACTTAAAAGAAAACATTATTTTGAGTTCAATGTGAAGCGCAAAATAGGCTTTAAAAGAAAATCCAACCTTTACCCGGTCACAGTTTTATGAACAAATTTCAAGGGTTGATATTCAGCACTTTTCTTCATTTTTAATTATTGCAAATACTGTAGAAACTATACAAAAAATGACATCTGCTTTACAGATATAAAAGTGCATTGGAAAATAAAAATATCAGAATAAAGTCACTAGAAGAAAAGGTTGCCACCCTGTCAGAGAGCAATGAAAAATTATCGTCCACAGTTAGCCAAATGAGAGAGGTTTCTGCTTAAATTAAATATATTCATTCACATTGTATTTATTTTAATATTTGAATTTGTATTCTCAAAACTAACATATACCAACAGTAATACAATTGTACAATTAAATGATCACCTTTTACAGTGGAATGTAACATTTGCAAACACAAAAGATCGGATTTTGAAGAATACTCACAATCGACTCTCCATGTGCAATGCAGAATTATCTTTCTTCAAAACAACATTCAACGAGGCATGTATTATTTGCATCTCTGTATAATTGTAATACCTAATATAAGTGTGCTTCTGCATAGAGACTAAAGCAAATTTTTGAGTCTTAAAAATTAATCAAAACAATATTCATCAGTACGCATGCCCTGTTACAGTAAAATACAATCAAATGATCTATTTCAGACCATCGGAATGAGGATGTATGATGAGTGGGTATTTGACAAAACAAGAATTCAACAGTATTGGGACGCACAGATCATGCAGACAACAAATATCATAAGGAATATCTACAACATTCGACTTGAGGCAGAACGGCGATACCTTGCACAACAGTATCAAATGAAAGTAGGTGTCAGTTTAATTTGAAAATATATGCATGTTGAAATAGCGTCAATAAGCTAAAAGATAACAACCTGCAAAAAGATCAAAATAAGAGATTTAAAAATCTGACAATCTGAGTATAATCAAGGACAATTTATAAAAAATAAAAACAAATTAGGAATTGAAACAGATACCATGAAGGAAAATGCATTTCTCCTGAACTAGTTTCGCTGTGTGCTCTTTGTTACTTTTAATGATATTGAATTTGCTCAGTGACTCGTTTTAGAGCTGGTTCAAAAGTACAAGCTCTTGCATAATGAAACAACTTGAGATTTAAATCCGATATGCAGATGATAATGATATTGCTTCACAAATAAGGAAATTTTAAAACCATTTTTTAATAGAGTATAGAGTATAGTGTAGGTTTTTCATCAATTTCTTTTTCTATTTTATCCGAATAGAGAGTACTAATGACATAAAATTATATTTTTGATTTTAGATGAACAAATCGGAAACAGAGATACAGAAGTTCAAGAAAAGTTATAAAGCACAACTGATACAATTGCAAGAAAAGGTTGCAAAAGTTCAAGAATTATGGAAGAAAATGGAATCTAATTGCTCATCTTCGAATAATCGACAAAGATGCACGAGACTGAGGGGAGAATTTCGCATCATGGTTGACATCGTTGTCACAAAGTAATTCATTTTCATGAAATTTGTTCTGTTGGCAAGTTTGATTTCTGAATTGCACTTTTTAAAGTTAATGTTAAACCAATTTCTTGTATAAAAATACAAAGCGATGTAAATTACTTCCCTTTGAATTATCAGATCTGGAATCATGCCATGATAAAGTGCTACTAATTATGTATTACTCTCATTCATAATCAATTTTATTAAAGTTAGAGGAAAAAGTTTTGCCAAATATTTTTTTCATTTATCATACAATCATATGAAAGGCATTTACATATTACCAGATAAATATGCAATTATGCTTTGTTAGATACTGTACGTAGAAATCAAGACTTTTAATCGGTTTTGTTGGTTTTGAACATAATGTAATACAATTTAGAAATTTCTTGAACAATAACAGATTGTAAACTAGTCACTCTTAACTTGTTTACAATTCATGCTCGTGCCATTGAATTCATTTTTGCCCGGCTTAGAGTATCAAATTAATCGTCGTTTCAATATAAAAAGATGGGGAGTATTTATTTCATAAAGAACAAGTAAAAATGGAAAAAAATCCTCTCCGAAGTGATTATGAATGTCAATTAGATTTTCTTTAGTAGTGTAACGGATTGACACTGTTTATTGTTTTTATTTCAGACTTGCAGATCTAAGGTAAGAATAAGAATCAAATATATTCTAAATGATGACATCTTAAAAAGGCGTACAGAAGAAAAAGCTTGATAAAAATTATCAAGCTAAAATATGGTAAAGCAAATTTTTATGTTTCAATGTAAGATTGATATATAAATCTTTCTCGAAATATTAATATTGAAATAAGTACACTTTTATATATATCTATAATTTTACAATGATCCAAATGTGCTGTCAGAAATAGAAATTTAAAATCTTCCTATTTTATGTACTTAGAGTTAAAAATACATGATAGTAAAGTTAGTACAAGTCCTTGCATCTACAGTTCTGTCAAGAAACCATATGAATAT